CGGCCTCTGAGATACGTCGACTTGCCGCCGGCTTCGGCTTATCTGCATTTCCGACCGCTTCGTTCGCGCGTGACTGGCGGCGGATTAGGGATTACGAAGCGCGGCCGATCACAATCGTTCCCTGAGAACTCGCCTCCTAGCTGGTTCCGCTCGTTTCCTCAACGGCTAGTTAATTAATGTTAAACTCAACGTTTCGCGAAAACGTTTGATTTAATTTGCCGACCGTCTTGAATTTTCCCAGAAGCGAGAGACAGAGAAAGACAGAGCAGAGAGAGAAAGAGAGAGAATCCGGTCGCGCGTTTCGAGGTCTTCACGGAGTGACGTGTTCGGAATCTTTCTCGCTGATGAGAGTGACGTAAGGCGTATGTAAAATCTCGCTGTCGGCAGACAGCCCAGTCGCCTCCGTTTCGTTCAGTCGCGCTGTGGAACTGTGGGATGCTGGTACCGGGCGATACTACGGTGACGCCGTAATGGGAAGGAGAGGTTGCGCACGAGCGAAGTGCAGTGCAATTACGTTCGGGGATAATGGTTCGTATTCGCGCGTGTACCGTTAACGTTCAATGTATGATGCTCGTCTGCTACCTCTCGCCTCGATGCAATTACGATTTACGCCTAAAACCCGCGGAGAGAGTCATTTCCTCGAATCTTGAGTACAGCTTATTCTAGGAGAGCTTCTTCCAGCCGTATATATTTGCTTCGCGCCGTATAAGTGTGTCGCGCGCGTGAGATCTGCTTCTGAACTAGCGATCCTTGCAATGTTGTCCGATACGGTTCTCATCTCGAAGTACTTAGCATCTTATCTTAGACGCATTGCAGCTTTTTTCGTTCTTTAAAAATTAAGCCGCTACCGCGCGACACACGCGTGAGTTGTAGCGGAATCGACGTTGCTTCAATTGCAATTATTTCTACATTAGAGGAATAATGTGTAGAGAACTTCATGGTTTTATTCTAAAATAACAACTGATATTATAGATAGCAGAATAATAATAATTTAGATAAAAGTGATGTCGCATATATCGCATTTGTTGCGTTTAATATCGCGTCTTACCGCAGGATTAAAATTCTCTCCGAGTATAAATCAGATATATACACTAAAAAAAAAAATTTTTTTAATATTTAAAAAACCTTATTTGAATACTCCTAACAACATATTTACTTAATAAGTAAAGATATCTAATTCTAAATAAATATGTGATTATATTAAGTAAATATGTTATTAGGAGTATTCAAATAAGGCTTTTTAAATATTAAAACTTTTTTTTTAGTGTAAGATTTATAATTTGACGATAACACATTTTAATATACTCACATATCGAATATATGTGAGAATATATGGGCCATTATCATCAAACGTCGCTGATTAGATAAATCTTGAAATGTATGACATGCCGTTTAATTTTGTGTACAAGCCATTAGTATTAATTATGGCAAATTACCAACCGCGTTGTGATAATTGGTAGTACCAGAAGTATAGACTTTACATTCACAATGATTTATTTAAAGCCTTATAGGGGAAATAAAAAAACAATATTGTTATATAAAGTTTTAATGCGATTTAAATATAAATAATAATAACATGATACTGTAAGGAAATATAAATTTATCAAACAGGCTAAAGCGACAGACGCAATAGTTGCTTTCCATTTACATCAAAACTCAGATAATTCTCACTTGTGACGTCATAACTCAGTTAAATGCACGTTCTTTTTGCATGCTGGCAAGTGAGATTCAACTGAGCTTTTATCCACAATCGAGACCATGTGCTTTAATGAATCTAATAGACTCACATTAAAAGTGAGGCTATGGACCTGTATTATTATGCGATATAGCTTTGTCACTAAAATAAGCAAGTAAATACTGAGTATAAAGTACTCACATAACTGAGTGACTCAGATCACTTGAGCGTAAATGGAAAGCAACTAATATTTACAGCAGATAGCGAGATTCCGGTATGGAAATCTATAATCACGCAAATTGTTGCAATTTAATCTATAAATAGATGCGTGCTTTGATGTCTATTCTAATATTGGAAATACCGGAAAGACTTTTATGAATACAAGATGAATCGAGTGACAGGCGTTATCATAACAAGTTCAACGTGAAGGAGCAAAGAATCTCTTGAACTCGATTGATCGGTACTTATCGATTTAACGTTTCATATCTCGTGTTTTCTTCTCTTTTTCGCGCGAGTACGTCCGCGTACGCTGCATTGCGACAATCTAAACAAAAGGTTGATTTATTCGAGACGCTGATGCCGTTTACGCCGTATCGCATCGATATACGGATGTAATTTCTATTCGACGATATATGGGTCACGTCACACGTGAATATGTATTAACGTCGCTTCATGTCGACTGGAAAAGCAACGATGGGAGTAAGCGTTAGCGCGCTCGTCGCCGCTCCTTTCAACGTTCCAACGAGCGTATTTTATCGGCTGTCTTTACGAGCTCCGGCACGGCAACGTTACATCAAACAACATATATATGTGTTCCGAAAATGGCGGCCACGGTTAATGCGTTAGCCGGTCGTCGGTTATTCGAATAAATGGATTGCCGTTAAAGCATCTAGATTAAAGAGGAGAGGGCATACGACTCTTTCCGCTCGTCGTTAAGTCATTAAGAAAAAGAAAATTGTTCCGCGCGTTATTGCAGGGTCGCCGCGGAACAATCGAGGTCAGAAGCCGGGCGGTATACGCGAACGGTATTGTGTATAGCATCCAGGAAATTGATGGTGAATGAAATTACGACGAAGCCTTAGTGAATTAAAAAGCGCGAAGGGTACCGGCTATATATTGATTGATGCCTTTTCAAATATTATTCGGTTCTTTCTCTCATGGTTATCCGGATCTCTTGGCACATCGACATTTTTTGGAGCTGCGCCAACTTTGGGGCCGCGATTTACTTACAGCGCTGAACACCCCGTTCAAAAGGGAAGATGAATGAGAGAGAGAGGGAGGGGGTGGGAAAGAAAATTGAATTTTTAACGTCTCATAAAGATATCGGACGCTCGTTCCTCGGGCTTTTCGCACAGAACGTTTGAAGGACCGTGGAAAATCGATGACGAATGAAACTTTGATCCCGCGGTGTCTCATTCACCGTATTCACGTGGCGGTGCATTGTAAACACGTGCGTATGCACGTAAACCATTATGCGGCAGCAACCAACGGCGGCGATGGCTGCTCTCCGCGCTGGGTGAAGCAGTCGTATAAGCCGGAGTACGGAGTTCAACGACCGGTATAAATTAAAGCGGCGCTCGGATTTCAATGCCACGGCCTTGCTCAAGGCCGTCGCACTCGTAGAAAATCAACGGTACATTTGCGCCGGCATTCGTAACAATAAATTGTGCGAATACGACGTGAGCGATCGGGTACAACCACCCGCAAAACTTACGCAATATCGTAAGATGGATTCTTTTTCTTGCGACATTTCGCTCATTAAATTCAAATTTCTATAAATAAAGCTTGCGCGATTATATCGCAACATTTCTTCAGCGATGGGAATTCTTATTTATCTTTTTGCAAAAAAAAAATAACATGGTTTTCTTTCTCTCGGATATAAAGTATTGTCTTGCGACAAGAAGAAAATTCAATTGAGATTTATATTTGTTAATCGAATGTATAGTTTTTGTGGTTTTTTTACAGTCTTTTATATATATAAAGGAATGGCTTTTAGGTTTCCCTAGTGTCGGTGCGATTGATATCAGCTTAACAAATTCTTGGCATCCGCGAATTTATTTTCCCTTGCGCCTGCACCGGATGCGTGCACTTAATTTCTAAAATTAAAACACGCATGCATGCACGATTTACTCAATTACATCATTTATGCGCTCTTGCGTTACAGAGTTACAGGGTGCTTTGTTGTCGTTATTATTAGCGCGCGTAAAAACGGTTAACGCGATAACGCGATTTGGTAGGGGGCTTTAATTGCGGGGATTGTTAAGAAGATCGAGAGAGCCGGGGTTATTTGGACGCCCCTGCGCAAGTAATTTATAAGCAAAAAATTTATAATTTGATATAGGGAACGTATTCGCGCTTGTTGCGGATATTATACTTTCGCCTCGTTCCGAATATTATACAAAATATTATTTATAACATACCGGCGCGGTAATATTATAACATTTTGCAAAATTATCGCGACGTGTTTAACAATCTCGAGCTCTTCGCAAACATTCACGGTGCATTTGTAACGAAATCATTTCCCAATGAGCGACGTATTTATTCATCGCGCGTGAGATTCACGTGCGCGTCCGCCGCGCCGCCTCGGTTCACCGACACGATTTTTCCGCGAGCGCGCAAATGTATTCCGTTGCACGATAGAGCACGATAAATTAGCGTTATTACTCTAACGTGCGGCATTATGACGTAAACAAATGACATACACGTTGCTCTCGGGTAATTAATTAATTTACTCAAATCGCCGCGGGCGGGCCTCGATATTGCAATACGGTAGGCACGCTATGGTAGGCATCGATATGAGTCTATGCAAAACAGTTGTCGCACTGTTCGCGTCCAGTACCACAAAATCAAAGGGGTCATGATTGCGAATAGAGTAACAGAATTAGATTCCACAAAGCATGAGTGCGTCGCGTCATAGCGAATAGGGCTGTTTGAACTGAGTTTTGCGAATTAAGTTTTGCGACTTACAAAGAAAAGTCTTCTTATATAAAAATAAATAAATATAAATAATAAAATAAAAGCAATTCACACTGAGATATAAAAATTAAATATATAAATACTGTAAATGGTTGTCTTTGCGATAAAGTAAAAATCGACAATTTGAAATCGACGTTTTTATTCTATTAATATCGATAGTCATATCTAAGGCAGACAACACTCGTTTTCATTGACTTTATTTTTGTTTCGAACATCAACGCGATCCCTCGAGACAGCGTTGTTGCTGGCTCGAGCGTCACTCATCGACGCGCGGGGCTTACGTAAGGGGTGCGCGCCAAATTCGCGGGTTCGCGCCCATTCATAACGATCTCCTCGATTTTAATTTTAGCATACTGGCCTCGAGGCGACAGCGCAGCGTCGTCGCTCTTCGGCGGGATGCCGGGTGGTTATGGCCTGGGGGCCCCCCATTTGCCCTCGGCTTACGCTATTCTGGGCCGGGGGAGCTCAGCGCCTGGCTTCGGGGGCCACACACCAGCCTCGGCGCCACCCCCGTCCCCGTACCCTCACAGCAGCCTCGGTACACTCAGCGTGGCCGCCAGTCAAGCTGCGAGTCTGGGTAAGTAAATTTTCCCCTCCTCTCTTCGCCTCCCGTCTCTTATGTCTCCTCCCTCCTTCATGCACCCCTGAAGTCCCATCGATTATCATGATTACACACGTTATTGAAGCCAGCATCGCTTCTCCTCGGAAGCGTGTCTTTCGCAAGACTATTCGCGCGATAATTTGGGATCATTTCTTTGGCTAATATCTAACGCGACGTGTGTAATAAGCGTAACGAGATACCATCATATTTTCATATACAGCGAACTGATCAAAACTGCTTTTCGACATCTTTATACTCATAAATACGATTCTCGAACTGTTAGCAGAGATATTTGTAAGGCCCGATACATATCATCCGTGACAATCGATATGATATAATAGCTGTTTTTCATTCGCGCAAAGGCTTATCAGAGTTTAAGTAAACATTGCTAAAAGTTTATATTTTTTCATAGAGCTGATATACTATGCGCACTTTAGTTTTCTTGCAATCCAAATCAGGGAGACTAGAGATTTTTCCTCGTCATGAGACGCATCTTGACACATTTTGAAGATCGCGAACTTACTTATTTACATCGACGTCGTCTCTTTTAGGAAATTATTTTGTTGTGCCCCTCTCTCTCATTGACTCGTCCAGACCCAGGGCAATTGAGCGATGTTGAGCCGCGTTTCGAGATCGAATTTTATAGACCGGGCGCGGATTTACCGGAAGCACACCGTGTTCGTGTTGCAGGCATCAATCCAGCAGCCAGTGCATGGTGGACAATGGCCTCTCATCTGGCGGCGCAAGACTACCTCGCGAGGCTACAAGGAGCGGCAGGACTCCCAGGATTTCCGCCCGGTGCCGAGAGCCTCCTGCCGCCGTATCCCGCCTCTCTACTTAATCCCCCGTCCCTCTCGTCCCACAAGTCCAGTAAGTGTAAGTAACAACGATCGAACAATGTTGCATGGTGCGATGCTCGAGAAACGCTCGCTTCCGTACGCTTAATCCTCGATCGCCGAGTCCTTTCCGAGATAACAACGTCGCTCGGAATAGCTGAACGGGTATATTTTTAACCGTTTTCTCTTTTTTTTTTTTAACGTTTCTCCAAACCTGCCGACGTGAGACACGATTTTTACTTCCGGCTTTTAGTTCACGGTATTTTTATATTTTTTAAATTTGTTCAAGTTATATTTATACATGACTTTTCCGTCTTATCGCTATAATTATTTTCTATTTTGCGACCAAGGTGTTTTGTGTATTTTTATGCATTTTTTTAAATTTATATTTGAAGTTATAACGTAATTCTAAAGTTTCTCTCAAGTTTCGAGTTAAACAAGGTTACTTGTTAATGAGATAGAAACTTGAGACTCTTGAAAGTTTATGAGTCTACTTTCGTTAACAATTGACAGTTGCTGATCTTGGATTGACGCGAACGTGGACGCGTTTTTTCGACGATAATTAATCCAAATTAGGGGAATTGCAAATGTATAAATTATTTTGCTCGTTTTCACGGCCGAACAGCTAAGTCAAGTAAGAGTCACAAGACACCAGCTAGCAGTAGTAGCTCAACCACGCCAAGTATGACGAGCAGCAGTCTGCCGGTGTCCACTCAACCACCGGTGACGTCCTCTCATCACAGCACTCCGGTCAGCAGCACGCCAAATTCGCAGTCGAACGTCGTCAGGTGAGAGATTACTCGTTTCGCATATTAAATACACGACCCAAGGCTGCAAATTGATTTTATCTAACTCGCTAAAAAAATTGTATTTTCACGCCATCGTTTTTCCTATCGCGACAGTTCTGCGAAGGAAGGAAGGTGAATATATCAATTCAATTATGCGGTAGATCTTTCACGACGCTCTATCATACGATTTATAATTAATATTAGAATGCATATAAATATCCAGTTTTTATATCTCAATATAATTAAATTCATGATTCTCGCTATTTTTGATTATCATTATTACGTAGTTTAATCTACTTCAATTGTTGTAAAAGGTAAATAACTTCACAGCGATGTTTTCTCTAGTGATCCTAGCAGTATATTGGGAGGTGTGCGCCTACCTCCCGACACGGAGATTATCAAGTATACGTCGAGTATAGTCGGTCCGAAGGTTCCTGGGACGACGAACCGCGGCAGGAAGAAGACAATATCTTTGGACACTCCTAGCGTCAGCGTACATCCGCCGGCGGTCCCTGCCCTTAGCGCCCATCAGATCAACACGACGTCAACCGCGTCGCTAATGATGGAACCGAGGAAGTATAATCGCACGGGGGTACGTTCAGCCGCCGCACATGTTGGCTGCAATTCTGAAACACCTAAGCATAAAATCGCAAGGAGTCTATTACTTGTTATTCTTTGTGCGACTTAAAAAGATTGATATTCAGTTGCGGGATTAAATTTGCTTCCTTAATTTTACATCCGCTACGAATCTAATGTAATCACGCGCAATACGTCGTGTAATCGTGTGCGTTTCGTCTTTCTTCAGACCGACTCGAACGAATACAGAGATTCGGTGGATCGAGTAGAGGTAATCAAACTGCCGGCCCATTCAACGAACGGCTCCGTTCTGTCGGCGCCACCGACGTATACTAGCAGCAGTAGCAGCGGTAACAGCAATGCGAACAACAACATCAACGATTCGGACGCGCCCCTAAATCTCTCCCTGAAGCCCGCCACGACGAGCAGTAGTTCGCCGATTTCTGGTAGTCAGCCGCTCAGTCAGCTCAGTAATTTAAGCCAATCGTTACTTGCCTCCGATCGGACGTGTAAGTATAGCAACTGTGCGCCCGGCATTGTCAGCCGTTTTAAAGTCGTGTAAAGTCGTCGTATGTTTTTATTCAGTGGAAAAATTGTTTGGGAAGTAAAGAGATAGAGAGTTAAGAGCAATTTTGCAAATGTACAATATAAGCTCATCGTTTAAATCTCCATATTTTTGAAAATTATTTCCGAGAAGTTTATTTTTCTCGGAGAGGCATACATGATTAAAATAACAAAAACTTTATGGATTATCGTAGCGAGACGAAAGCCCGGACCAAAGCCGCGAAGAGTGCCGCAGAATTCGGTGCCGGTGCCGGCGTCGCCTAGTCCCTCTTTGGCGCAGCTCTTCGCCGCCGCGGACTCGCCACAACGGCCGAGTAGCGGCAGCGAGGAGAGCGAAAGTGCGAGCACTGCCACCCATCACAAGGACGGTAGGCCACGAAATCTCGGCCGCGGTGTGTCGAAGCCTAAAAAGAACACGGTCGCGTCGTTGTTAGCTCAGAGCAGAGCTCTAGGAATTAAGCCGACTCCGACTTTGGATCCAAGTGTGCCATTGTCTCACCAAGTATCGTTGTTGAGATCGAATATATTGGCGGCTCAATTGCACGCTTCCGTCGCTACTGGCCAGGACGATAAGAATCAGGTAAAAGCCAGCTACCGGGCTCAACATGAAATACCTTTGTGTCGAGTATTAATTTTAACGTTATGATTACATTGTACTTTAATAGAGAATTATTCTTTTATTCTGACTTCTGTACTTATCTAATTTCCATATATCTTTACGATTATCTTTTGTTAAAGTACTATCACTTGCTAACGAAGATACAGAAGAAGAAGCGACCTCGACCAATTCGTGCTTCGTGGGCGAGGAGCCATGTTCGTTTTTCTTTTTTTTTTTACTTATGATTTCGCACTAAAACCATTCTCCCTATATAGAAATCTTTGCAGGAAAAAATGAAAAACAAGTTGCTGGAGGCCTCGGGAGAAGAGAGTAACATGGACGTGACCAGCGAGAGCGGCAGTAACACCGACGTTGTCACGGATACCGATGACGACAATACGGAAGGCACACCCAGCGCGAAGAGGAGAAAGCTCAAGCCCAGCGAAAGAGACCTTCAAATGCCGTTAGAGCGCGGTTGGAAGCGTGAAACAGTTATCAAGGGACTAGGAAAGACGGGAGTGATAAAAGGCGACGTGTCGTATTACAGCCCCTGCGGGAAAACTTTTAGGAGCAGTCCCGATCTGGTGAAGGTTGGTTACAACATATTACGACCGGTGATGGTTGGTGTACGTTATCAAAAGTGATTTGCATGAAGTTGCTAAAAGTTCGAAGTACTTTGCTAAAACTTTCTATTGTCGATTTTGCTATTATCGTGATATCTACGGCGCGATACATAGTAAAGAGATAACGTACCGAAATACAGATGAGGTTTAGATTGATCAGATTACTGAGCCCTCAAGAAGAGATTTCAAGACGAGATCTCTTTCCGATTTCAGTTTCTGGAGCATCAGAATCCAGCCGAGCTAACAACCGCCAATTTCTCGTTCTCCTCTCGCCCGTTGGTCGGGGAATTCCTGCAGCCAACGATGGGTCTAGCGGAGGCTGAATTCGTCAGACTCGGTGCTCAGGAAGTAGCGCGAAGATTGGAAGAGCTCAGAGCGGTCGGTGGTTTCAGAGACGCACGGCCGAACAATCAGTACGAGAGAGACAAGCTGGCTTACGCGAAGAAACTCGCGAAGGAAGAAGCGCAACGGCACAAAGAACAAGCTAGGTAAAATACTCCATTATTCAAATATGTTGATTATTATTTAAATCAATATATTTCTGGAAAATATTAAATAATGGTTGCTGGCGTGCGTTAAAAGATAGAAGAGCTGATGCGCATAAGTTACTATTTGTTATTGAGATCGCTTCATAAAATTATAGAAAGTTGATGATTGTCGATAATAGTCAAATAAATCATGAAGTTTAATGAAGTGTTAATCTCGTCGCTACGTGAGAACAGTTAACTATTTATTCGCTTACTGCGGAAATGATTACTTAATTCGAAGTTTCGCGATTGCAACATGTTGATGTTTTAATTAACGCGCATTTATCATTTTTCACTGTAAGATTATTGCGTGCGCGTAATCGCAAATGTTATCGAGCGAAAATATAAAAGTGAACGTCGCTATGTTAATTCGGAACTGGAGTTTTATCGAGCGTTTGTAAAATTTATGGACACAAGGTGTTACGAGTAACCCTTGATTAATGATTTGTTCGAGCGTTTTTACTGCTCGGGGATTACGTGAACTTAAATGATACCCTCATTGTAGGCTTATTAAGGAGCAAGAGAAGACGGAACGGCAGGAAACCTTGAGACGAGAACGGGAGATCAGGAATCAACAGCTACTCGAGGTAAGTCGACGTCTACCACCGAGTTTCCTTCACGTTTGTCTCGATCTCGTTGTTTCATTCACACGAAAAACTGTTCTCTTATTCTATTTGGGATACCTACGTTTTTTTGTATTTTGTCCACCTGTCGTGCGTGTCGCATGCTCTCTGTGTGTGCCGTATTTATATATATATATATACATATATATATTATCTCCGTATATATATATACATCTGTCTATATATACATATTATATATACGACTTTTTTAATGAATATTCTTGTATAGAGAAACTCTTTTCTTATACTATATACGTCCATTGAACCTCTTACAACCTCTAATGTCCCAGAATACACGAGACACCCATAGCCAACCAACAACCGCTAGCGATAGTGACAGGAGAACCCAGCATGTCCTCCCACCTTACCCCTCCACGCCCTATTTAATTTTCACCCTTTTTAATTTCGCCAAATGTGTTTAATTGTTTGATAAAAAACGTTGAGAATTGAGTGCAGTCGTGATTTTGTTTTTATCAAACAAACGCAACTACTGTTGAAAGGAAAAAATGAGTAAAATTAAAAAATAACTACTCTGGCATTCAAATTGTCTAATAAAAGGAATGAAAGTTTTATTCCTTTTATGAGCCACTGTTTCTTCTTGACGTACGCTAAAATACACGCGCCAAATTTTTAGTTATTTTTTTTCCAAATGCAAACGCGAGAATCGTGAATAAATTAATATGGATGCCAATATTGATTTAAATTCTAAAATTCTTCGCGCGATATTCGATATTTCATACACCGAGATATGTTTTGAAACAATTCCATCTGTTCTCAATCGATACCGTTGATGCTTTTATGTACGTTGTAAACAGAAGTATCGTTGATACATTTTGTTTCCCATTATTTTTGTCGGCGCCATCGGATAATGAGACAAATAATTGTATTTCATTAAGAATTGTTTTTGACAACGGAAAATTTACGTGAGAAAAAAACATTCTTGAACGTTTATTGAAGTAATACTATCCAAAATTTTATCTTTTGACCAAATATATTATAATTTTTAAATTATTATAATTTTTTAATTGATATTCCTTCGATTCTCCACATCTCAGCCATAAGGGCAAATGTACAATCATTTATATTGTTTCAGTTATGTGAGACATTGAGTACTATTTTTGGAAATGTTATAACTTACGCAAAATTATTAAGTATCGAATCATAAAGTGTGTATTAAGTGAAGAATCGTATTGCCGAGAAATATTTTCCATTTCGTTACCGGACTCCCGTCGGATTCCATAAGATCGAAGACAAATTTTTTTATTTACGTCTTGCAAAACGGGCGAGGATACATTTCGATATTGGAATACGTGTTTAATGGGATCGACGTTATTCTGGAAATTTTTCCTGCGCGAGGGAAAACCTCGACGAAATAGAGGCGCGCGATTGTAGGAATTTCAAAAGTCCATCCATTGTGATAGTCCTCCAAACTACCCCATCGGAATCCTCGCGCAAGCCAGATTATCACCCTGTCCCCCCTCAATCACTGTCACTCGTTCGTTCATGTTTCCTCGCATTCACACACGCATTCCACATCCACACGCACATCACTGGCCCGTACATACACACACAACCCGTGCAATTTGAAAGAATAGAAGGAGACGTCAGACGACACAATAGTGTAGTGACTGTAGCTACACTATATGTAGTGGGCTCATATGTAGTGGAAAAACGCGAAATAGGGATGCCCAGATCGTATATAACCGATCCAGATAGATTTCCCCCCCCCCTGGGACGTAGAGAACGAAATATAAAACGGATGATGCACATTATGTTTAGACGAGCTAACTAAGATTGGCGTAATTTAGCAAGTTATTGATGTAATTGAGAGCGTTATTATTTTGTTATGTGTGCATTGTGTTGTTACATTGTGTTCAACATTACGAGAGATAGTCGAGAAAGTTATTTTATATTATTTAATATCTTCACATATAAATAGTCAACAAGTATGTCGCGTGTTTCTTTTTTCTTTTTAAATGGTAACAGCTTTTATGTGCTTATAGTATCTAAAATTGGCTTTATCGAAATTACACATATTTTAGTCTTTTTTAACGGCGGGGTACGCGGAGTTCATAAAATTGGAGTTCATAAATTATTCAAGTCATTAATGCGACTATAGAATTAATTTGCCGATAGTATCGCTTTATTTTTAATTTGTTTTCGTGAAATGTTAAACAGTGATACATTCTAAAAATCTCACATCTTAATCTTGCGAACAGATATCATTTAATATACATATTTCGCTTAGGAAATTCGATAGCACTTTTGGTAATATATTTCACGTGGGAAATGTTTCATTGACAGTGTAATTTTGTCTCGTACATTATCGCATGATCAATCCGCGTAAAGTGATCTCCGCGTATCGCCCCGACTTAATCCCCGCCGGTCGACCGCGAACGACCGGTCGCACGTGGTCGCTAAACGACCATCATCCTCCCGAATTAACGCGATCGATTATACATTGGGCATCCCTGTAAACCCACCACCAACGCAGGGTCGAAAGCGGCTCGCGTTCACGATCAAGCAGAAAATGAAGATCATCCAAGAGATCGAGCGCGGCAAGAGCAAGAGCGACGTGGCTCGCGAGCTGGGTCTGGCGAGCAGTACGGTCGCCACCATCTGGAAGAATCGCGAGAGCATCGCCGAGAGCTGGCGCAACCGGGACATGATGCACCAGGCGGACGTCGAGGACGTGCCGTCTTCGAAGAAGCCGCCGTCGATGTCGTCCCTCGCGTCAACCACGGCGGCCGCGCTCTGCACGCCGGTGGCGATGACAACGATGACGACGACGACCGCGATGACGACGACGCCGCCGTCGTCCCTGGCAACCGGCGTGGTCGTGCCGCCTCCGCAGGTGCAGGTGGTGCCGCCGGTCCTGCCGCCGCCACCCTATCCCACCCTGACCCTGCCGCCGGCGTCGGCGGGCCTTGTGCCGTCACCGCAGCCGACGGCGCCGATCTCCTCCTCGTCGAACCTGTCATCGACCACCACATCGACCGGCACGACGACCGCGACCATGCCGCCGGACAATACTCAGCAGGCACAGACCCAGACGCAGAGCCAGGAACTTCTGGAGGTAAGATGTCGTATGACGCATCCCGACCCTCTCCCCCTCCCCGCCCCCGCCATCGAGTCACCCCGTCCACGGTCTTGCCCGCCTGGACCCGTTGATTCCACCCCTTTCGTACCACCCCCATTGATATCCCTCACGTAATGTCTCGAAGCTCGATATCCCCGACATTTGCGCCACTTGGATCCATCATCGACCACATCATGTTCACTAATGAGTGTTGTCATATTGTCTTGTGAGTCGTTATTACTTCCGGATGTCCCTGTCTCTCCTCTTTGACTTGAATTTCCTCCGCGGATCCGGACACGGTTCGCGATAGAAGGGCGAAGAGATCCCCCACCCCCCCGGAGGTAAGCGTTATACCGTGAGTATACCCGGCTCGCGGCCCGCGGTTCTTTTACGTGTGTTTTGCGTGGGGTGAAATAATATAAGTGCTTCCGGTGCTCCCACAGACGAATATCGTGCGAATTTTACCATTTCACGTCAGCCTTGTTGTCTCTTCAACGTTCTTATCAACGTTCTGCTTTGAAAAATTATGCCCACAGTAAAATGAAACCTCCGTAAAACCATTTAAATGAAAATAAAATAAAAAGTAAAGTACATCGACTTTTTCTTCTTCTTCTTTATAAAACATGCGTCGCAAATAGTTGGGAATAATTTTGACCGGTTTTCCGAAATCAATTAAATAAATTATTTCCTAATAAATTATCATAAATTCGCTTTTTATTTTACAATGATCTATCGGCAAATTTTGAAACTCTTTTCGAAATATATTTTATTAGCACATAATATCTCGTTATAATATGTTAGTCGTCTAAATATATTGAGGCTAATTAGGCGAGTTAAAACAAAGACTTAACAAAATCATATCTTGCGTCGGTGCATAAAATTTCACGTTTTTCAATGTTCCTACAAACACTAGTCTCTAGTCATTACATTTTCCCAATCATTTCACGATTCCTCGAGTTCTCTCATTATAGCACTTGAAAATTTTCAACGTGTATCGCCAAAGTGAAGAGACGAACCTGCGACTGGCGTCGTAAATTCACCCCCGCCTAGTACTTTATATCGCGTAGTGATGAAACAAAAAAAATACATACGTACACACACACACACATACATGCATATAGATGCTCACCACCGTGCTTTCGTAGGGTTGGCCGATCTCTTCGTCCGGCCAAGCGGATTTCGGAATTCTAGTTTTATTGTCAGTGATCGTTTATTATGCTATTTTCGAAAATGAGAAATTTATTCAAATATACTCAAACCTATGGACTAATAAAAAAAATTGTAAGTTTCTATTGATCGTGAGTAATTAATCTAAAAATTATGTAAAATTTGATAATTTTATAATGAAATAGGGTTTTTTCTCTTTGCGTGTGAGATCATTACTCTATTAATGAGTTTAATCTCAATTCACACATACTTTTCACATGAATTTTTGAGGGTAAACACTTCAAAATTAATATTTATCATTATTACATTGTACTCAAATAGAACTCCAATTAAAATATTGTCTAAAATAAATTGCTTTACTCAATTCATCTACAATTTAATTCATTTCGAAAATTACGTTCAGTTTATGGTCCATTAAGTTTTCCCGATGAAGAGCAATTTCCGGGCGAGAAATCCGAAATCCGCCGAAAGATTATAAAGAAGAAGCACCGTTATCGATCTCGCGTTCTCGATGGCCGGCGTGTTTTCCGGAGATCGGCGACGGAAAAGCGCGGCCCATCGAGAATCGCGGGATCCAGATGCTAGATCAACACTGCGATCGAGGCACGTTAAGGCTGACGATACATACGTAGGCACGATATATATATACGATAATATATGAACCGACTGTCGCAATGCTATCCTGTGCCTAGCTTCTCCTGTCACTATATACAAAATAACAGCTAGCTACATGATTATCCAGCATGCCATACTTCTTGAAGAACCTGTCTCTAGTATTCGAGTATTTGCTACACGAGTATATATACAAAGAGCTTTCCTTTACCTTCTCGTTGTTACTGCGGACGAAAACGAACACACGAATTACCCGCGTAAATGGATATATATGTGACACCTATACTTTATATATACATATATATATAAATATTTATACACGTATTATTACATATATATTTTTATTACTATGTATTATCTACTGTTACATTTTATATTTCCTAGGTGACACGACACGATAGCCTTAATATTTTATCGGCTTAAGCGACGGTACACATTGTGTACCGTTGATATAATATGTGCATACATAGGCGAGTATTGCTTGGCTCCTTGCATGCCCGGCTGAGATTTTTCACTCTTTTCCACGTTATTATTCTTCTACTTCTCTTCGGTCTCTGTTCATCTTGTATAATGGTGTTGGTTTATAATGACAGTTTTACGCTCTCTCATTATCTCTCTCACATGGTTGATTCTCTCTTTTCCCCTATATTTATATAATATAATTAAATATAATTATTTTTCAATTCGTGTTCTTGCTGTCGAGTTCGCTCTCAGATCTTTTTACGAGCGAGTCGGTCTTCGTTATGCTTGGCTGCTGTCTCGGCGTATACGCGTCACTCTCTTGGTGGGGTTTTATATTAAATCGCATGCCTTTGCTACTCTTTTTTCTCTCTTTGTATAAGGATTTTTTACGGAGGACCTATTGCGCTAATTGAATATGCAATGTTTATCGGTATGTAGAAACTGAGCGTGCGTTATCTCACGGCTGTTACGATGAGCCTATAGCATAGCCGATGATATAAAGAGTCCACGAGAGCGCAACAATCGGATCGACCGAGTCGAACGGAAACGAAACGTTAAACTACGGGCATTTAGCAGAGCAGAGATTCAGATTTAGATTCAGATTTTTTAGCATGATCGTAGCCGGGAAAGGCGCAAAGATACGATTTGTGATCCCGAAGCTCCAACGTAATCGACGTATTATGGGTGCAAACAACGGGATAAAAGTAGGTCGTTCCTTCTTTAAATTTGAAATTAACTTTATCAGAACTTTTTAACTTCGACGTTCAGTTAAGTATTCGAGGTGGATTGTTAAAAAGTTACGCCTTTCCGAGGAAGAATTGGCCTCAAGTACAAATAATGTAGCGTTAAAATACAAAAGTGCACCCGTACTAATTTCCAGCTACATCCCCGAACTTTTAGAGTAGTGCTTAATCCCTGTCACTGATCTGCGCTATTTAGACATCGCTTTCCACACGTAGTCTTCGAATCACAATTACACTGTGAATGTCACGAAATCAAAAACCCGAGGAAAACCTCCCACAGATGGGGAACTTGTATTAGCCAGGCTATTTTCGTCCGATTGCGAATTTGATAAGGATCCATTTCCGTACGTCCGGAGAAACGTAAATTGTAAATCGGGAAGCGGAAATCGAGGCGGTCGCTTTATAAAAATTCATTGAATTAATTTTTGCTGAACATTTTCACAAGAAAAATATTCACGAATGTCAATAAAAACTGCGGTCAGGAAATTTTTAAAATTGTAACACGTTATTCCTGTAATTTTAGTCTCTATACAGCAATATACATTTTTATTTTGAAAATTATTTAAAATAAAACCCCTAAATTTTTTATAAACTGCACATGTACGATCCCGTTTGGTGGTTTTCATAGATTCGTTTCTGAAATGAACGCCCAATAACGATTTATAAGAAAGATTTTAATAATTTACGTTTTGGCACGAGCAAAATAAAATTAAACTTTGTAACAATAAAATAGCTTCTCTCTGCTCTTGCAACCCTCTCGATCGTCGCTGCAAGAAATCCAATAGGGGATACGGGAACTTCAGATCCAATTATCCAATTATCGGTGCCGGTAACGAGATAGTAGCTTTTCATCGCTGAAACAATGTTCTGTTTCTCTTGTCGTAAATACCGAGCGGTCCCGCGAACGAGAACAAAATTGCCTAAGTTTTCTCTTGATAAACATGATTACGGATGCGAGTGACGTGTGTATGGCGTATGCGCAGGCACGGAAAAAACGGGAGGAAGAGGTGCAGAAGATCCGACTGGAAGAACAACAAAGGAAGCAACAGGTAATTCAACAATCGTTACTATGTTAATGCCCGCGACCTGGTTCTTTCTCGGGTCGCCCGAAGTTGTAATACGCGAACGAACGACCTACCGCGATGCCATTTCCGGAATTGCATTAAAAGAGATCCTTTTAATTTCTCAGGAACGAGAGCTGAAGCGGCAGCAGGCGGTCATGCTGAAAGAGCAGGTGAGTTCTCTCGTCTTAAAACGTTCAACCGTTCTCCGCCAATCGTTTCGTCGCTGTAGATTAGCGTGAGTGTGCGTGAGTGTGTCTCTCCGTAGACGTAGAGGTGCTCTGTTTTACTTTTATCGCCTTCATTCGTTGCTCCCCGTTTATTTTTACGATGAGACCGACCTCCGAGCAAGTTGATCTTACGCGGAGATCGAATGAACCGGTAGGGGCCAGGAGATACCCCGTTTATCGAGGAGCGTGCACAAAATAATTATTTTAGAAATTGTAAACATATAAAGCGGAATATTTTACGTACTAGAATTAATTAATTATCGTATCTTGGAAACGGTGTTTGTTAGTAGTAAAAACTTCGTGTAATCTGCATGCGATTTTTCCGTAGAAATGTTTGAGCGGAATATCTGATTTCGGTATTGTAGAGATTCGTGTAGATTTTCGCGAAAGATTTAATCTGACATGAATATATTAATCTGAATATATTAATCTAGATATAATTTAAAACTGAATTAAAAATCCAATCGAAGGAAACAGGGCTAAATAAGAGCCATTCGCTGTTCTTGATGCGAAAGATTTATTCAATCATTGGTTAGTTCGAACGTTTCGGTATGAGTTAAAAATATTCTAAAACGAAAAGTTACACACGTTTCTTTAAGAATTTAATTTCTTTCTTTCTATATCATGATCTTTTTGCGTTTTAGAAAATGCACATTATTATTTCTGATCTTGAAAAACAGCACGTCGTACAGTAGCATTTATTCATGCCATTGTTCTGAAGTATTATGTTTATTTTTGAGAGCAAGGAAGTCGTCTTGTGTTATTTTAATACGTTTAATACAGCAATTATTGAATAGAAACTACATTAAAGAAATTAATTACATATGCACATACGAGGAATACAATGCTATTATTTTATGTCTCTTCAACGATTAATAAGTTTCAATTTACATTGTAAAATATTCACTGTAGAAGAATCTAACATTCTGTGTTTCGGACCTACAGCTCTAACTCATTATTTATATTACCAATATTCATCGACATCGAAAAAGTAAAATTGCTGTTGCGATTAATATATCATTTTCGGGGAAGTGTAATTCATCGCATATCACACGCGGAATGTCCAATCTTCATCGCGATGAGTTTTCAATCACCGGATATCTGACGAATTTTGGAGTAAAATCTTTTTCAGCAAAAATTTCAATGAAAACCCGCGTATCAAAACATATACAGTGGAAATTGAAGGATGTTCGCAAATTAAAAACTTTTGGAACAGATCTTTCTATTAGTTTCCAATAGACTAATGAAAAGATTGAATTTATTATATACGAATTGTGTTGCTAAGACATTTAATTACATTAAATATAACGGACTTTTTATATTTCATTGAAAATATTGCAAAGTTTTGACACACAATGTTTCTAAGTTCTTACAAAAAAAAAACCCGTTTTATATCTTTCAAACGAGTTTAAATTTAACGAGAATGAAGATAAGACACCCCGCAATCACTTATCGCGCTCGCTTTATCTTGAAATCGAAAAAGTCAATCCAGCATAACATTGTCGCGCATTTGCTCAACAATCCTGTTGCGAAGGGGTCGTTCGCGCTGCCGATTTCGCGACACGATTTAACTCCGTGACAGACAGATAGCCGATAAGTAGAGAACATCTACACGGTAGAGAGCGAGGGAAAGATTGTTAGATTGAATGTGGCGGGGTTTGAGCACTAGTGGACTGTGGATGTGTTTTGTGCCGCAGATGTACATGCAGGAGCTCACCAAGCAGCGCGAGATGCTCTACACCGTCGAGCTGGTATGTCACATACCCAATCTAGCGTCTAACAGAAACGGCATTAACGAATTTAGCGACTTTGCTCTCGCAACTAACTCACCACCGGCTCTGCGTTACATCGCAAAACTGCGGCGTGCACATGAACGGCTTTATGCGTTACATTCCCGTCGAGTTTCGAGCGTTTCAATTTCGAGATCTAACGATTGGCTTGTGCGGACCACGTGTCGCGGTTTACACATATCGTTCAACAACACCTTTCGGCATACCGTGTATCTTTGTCCGTAACGCAATAAGCTTACTTAATCTGTATCCGCTTCAGCTTCCACAAATCATTGCAGTTCATAAGCTTACATCTTGCGAAAAAATAAAAGCACACATTTGTCACCTCTCTGAGTTCAGTGCTAGGGAATCGAAAATTTCCCACTTGTTTTGCCACATAACGACGCGTTCGATAGAAACTTCTCTTGAGATTTTTAAGAAACTTCAGGACTGATCCGGCTGAGGAAAGCGTTTCGGGTAGCTCGACCGCTAGATTTAGTTTGCTAGAAATTGCACGGTTTTCTGCGCACTGTAAATGTAAAAGAGCGGTTTCCGCCACGACGCGCCGGATTGCTCTCCTATTACTATCAGTGCATCCGTTTAACAATATTGTTCGTAATGTGTAATGCGTGGAAGAGTATTTGGGACGGTTGTAGAGTTTGGCCCGTTGTCCGTACGTGACATAGATACAGAGTAGAAGATCATGGGAACTGATATACAAATGGATAATTCAACTAATTCTCGTTTCTTTAAAAGTTCGAATCAACTAAACGTTTATAAATTACAAATATAATCTTTATGAAAAAAAACGTTAATTTTCTAAAATATAATGTTCTTAAAAAATTTTTTTAAGTTTAGTGAAGATAGTATTTGCAAAAAATAATAGTTTCTTGTGATTTTTTACTCCACACACATATTACGCTTTATTGGCAATACACAAAGGAGAGTCTATATACACCACAATTTTGTCTTGATTAAATATTATCTGCATGAGCGCGCCAGATAGTTTTGCTGCGTGTTACTGTAACAATGAACGATGACCGCAGGAGAGGGAGAGAAGGAGGCAGCATATGGCCCTGGTACGGGCACTGGAGAACCGTCGGAAGATGGAGGAGAAAGAGAAGAAACGCCTGGAGGCCAGGGCCGAGAGGATAGCGACGAAGGAAAAGCGGGCAGAACAGAGGAGAGTCGAGATGGAGTTGATCGAACAAATTCGCAAGCCCGTGGAGGATATGGAGCTGACAGGTACGGGAACAAAAGAGTGACTGATATCATATTATGAGAACATTGCTCTTACTACGTCACGTGGCGAGTTTGAGTGCTAAGTTCGTACATACATCTCTAACGAGAGTTTTGGACTAATGACTCTTAATTAATTCTTCCTTCTTCTAACTAATTTTTTCTAACTATGCTTTTAGATCACAGACCACTGCCAGAAGTCAAAAGAATACCTGGACTTAAGCTCTCTGGGCAAGCGTTCGCGGACATCGTCATGGTCTTCGAATTTTTGCACAACTTCGGGGAGACTTTAGGATTCGGTGAGAGCATTTTGTTGTATACCTGTCAGAATAAAAAATCATTCATTATTTTATTAGGGATTGATTTTTATTGTCCTATTTTTTTGTAGATATGGAATCACTACCGAGTTTGAAGAGTCTTCAACTCGCTCTTCTCAACGACGAAGAAGCCGAAGAGGAGATGCTGTCGGTTATGACGCATCTGTTGGTGTGTGCCATTGAAGATCCCGGAATCCCGCAGCCGGCTAGACACACCACAGGCCTGGGTCAGAGTTTGCGTCAAGCTGACATCACTCACGCCAACATCAGTGAAGTACTGCGAATTTATTTGTACGCGAACGCAACCGGCGAAGTGAAGGCTCTGACAGGGGTGTGCCTTGAGCGTGAGCGCGACAAGAAATTTGCCGATCATCATCAGAACGGCGGCGATTACGCTTCGACCTGCTCGGGGAAGAACGCGCAGTTCTATGAGCACTTACATAACAACGAAACGTGGAAGATGTCGGAAAGATTGCGAGACAAGCCTTTCCTAGCGTTGAATCCGACGCATAAGGCGCAGATGCTCGCTTTCCTTTGCAACGAGCTGCTGCAAAATAAGGCTGTGATCAGACAGATAGAGGGTAGCCTCGAAACGGTGGCTCAGCTGAGGAAGGAGAGATTCGTATTGGATACCAAAATCAGAAAGTAAGTTGCATGATACGAAAAATTAATTGATTGAAATGTGTGAGATTGACCGAATAATTTTATTAAATCTATCGTAAGTGATTTTTTAATTTAAAGATACGTTAAGAGAAGCTAAATTAAATTATTTAAAGATACATTACAGATTAAATTACGCTTTTTCAGACTTGTTTTAATAATATCTGTTATTTTTTGTTCATACAGGCTTAGACAATTACACAGTCGAAAAGTCCGAATGGAAGCTGTAGGCGTCATTGTAAACAAAATTGGTGACACAATCACCATCGAGAAAAAGGAAGGTGAGGAAGAAGGCAATACTACGTCCACTGCCGTAGGTACGACACCTACACCGGACGAGATTCATCATGAGGACGAAGTAGAAGACATGTCTGAGAATGAGAGTGAAGGCACTCAGCCAGAAGAGGTATATCTTAGAACATCAATTTATTCTTAAATTAATTTGAAGATTTATTTGATACTATCTGAAAAAAAATTCTTATTTAGGAGGAAGATAAAAATTTGTCTGGCGAAGAATTAGGTAAGAAATTGGATAAACTGTTGAAGCAATCAGAGGAACAACTGCAAAAGCTGAACAGCTCTTCGAAGCAACTCCGTGCGCACATATTCGGCCAGGACAGGTATTGGAGGAGATACTGGGAATTAGCATGCGCCGGCGGCATCTTCGTGGAAGCCATGGAGAGCGCCGAACCGGAGATTCTCGACCTTCAAGCTGAGCTTGACGAGAAGTACAAAAACATGCCGGTAGAGGAGAAGTCCGAGGTGAAGCAAGAGGGCGAAGGCAAGACGAATTCCGAAAATCATGAAAATGAGGCACCGAACGAAGTTAAGGATGAAAAGAAACACAATTCGAATGAGCAAGATGAGGATATGAAATCTCATGAGGATAAGCTGAAGTCCGAAGTGGAGGAGGTTAACTGTAAGAAAGAGTCTGTACAAAATTGCAGCTCGGAGAATTCCGAGGGTGTAAAGGAGGAGAAGAGAAACAACGACGTTGATAGTACAATGACAGATGCAAAGACGAATGTCACGTCCGAAGAAATAAAACAAGAAACGGAGGTGATCAATGCAGATGTCGATATGAAAGAGGAAGTGAAAAAGGAGAACGAGGAAATGGATGAAGATATGACGAAACCTTTGGTGAAAACGATGGAGGACAAGATTGTGGAAACGATACCGAATGGCGACAAGTTCAACCACGTCAATAATCTGCACAACGGGAAGGAACTCAACGGCTCCTTTATTTCTAGTGAGTTTCTATAAATCCTTGCCCGTGATAGACTCTTCATTATTTTTAATTAATATCAGTTATGTCGATTATTTCAGATAGCAGCAATGCCGAGCCTAATTGGTTTTCCATCTTACCGCGTGAAACGTGCGATACTCCGGGACCTAGCACTAAGCAAATATTTGGCATAGCCGAGCCGACCGAGCTCAGAATCCCAATATTCCCACCGCCAGCTAGTCCGAGTTACGATAGATGTGACAGTCCAGCGCCCCTGATATTAACTCAAGATGAGGCAGTACAATTAGAATATTTGAAGGTGCACGGTTTACCGCCTCCTGGCGAAGCCAAACCGGTGCCGACTGGTAAGTCGAGTTAATTCGCGAATATTAAAATCAATACGGATGACTATGTGTTTCAAATTTCTAATCATGTGACTTTATATACAGATCTGAGATACGGTTGGTGGAGGATAACAGATGTGGACACGTTCCAAGAGCTTCTCGAGCATCTACATTCTCGCGGCGTCCGCGAGAAAGAGTTGAAGCGCACAACGTGGGCGACGATGGAATCCTTTTTAGCCGTAACTGGTAAAATTAATGTTGATCCTGGCAACATCGCCGCCACGGAACTTCAAGGAGAACAAGACGATCCCAACACGCCAATTCCGAAGCCTGATAATCCGAGTAATTGGAGCGAGCAAGTTGCTCTGCGAGTAGATGCTCAACTCTTGGAGCAAGTGGAAGCGCTTGAAGATAAAGTGGCTAACGCTAGCATGCAAGTCAAAGGCTGGAAACTACCGCCGCGAGCGGGAACTGAGGAAGCCGAAGAAATTGAGAAGTTGAATGAAATGGAGAAGATTAGCGCGGTCGAGCAAGCGCGGCAAAGGCTACTTTCTTTGGAGGCAGCTATTGAAAGGAGATACTTGAAACCACCTTTAGGCGTTTGGTAAGATGAGTTTCTTTTTCAGTCAGTTATTTCATCTTTATGGTATACGATAACTATGTCTCACATGATTTCTTCAACATTCGGTGATAAAAGGAAAAATTATGATTATGTATTTTGCAGGAAAATTATAAATAAAAATAATTATTGACAAAAAAATAAAATAAATCTTAAATATAAAATTTGATTAATTAGAGTGTCTTCTATTTTCACTGTTAAAGCACTCAATTAACATGTAAATTAAATTTGTTGAGCGAAAGTTGTATAATTTAATTATATTTTAATTTTGTAGCACGGGAGATCCCAACTTAGCAGCCCTCAAGGCGGAACAGGCGGCGGCCGCTAACGCAAACTCGAATAATTCCGAGCAGAATAACCAGGCGCCTGCACCGCCAGAGGAAACAACGCCGCGGGGTCTGAACACTTGGCGGGAGGCGACGGCACGAGCGCACACGTCGGCGCAACTCGCTATGGCGCTCTACATGCTCGAGGCCAGCATCGCTTGGGACAAGAGCATCATGAAGGCTGTGAGTCTAACAACAGCTAGAAACTCGGTCTGCGCCAAGCTACGAAACCGCTGCGTCTCACTCAAAGCTACCAATCAGTACAAACAGCTATTGACTACTTCTCAGACCTCTGTGGGTATTCGCACTAACTTACTAACCGAAACGTTCTTTACTACCCCCGCACCCGATACCTTTGTCCTTTCCGTTGAATGGCTCACAGAGAGTACGTCGCCTCGAATGGATATCGACAGGTGTCTACTCGATCCGATGACCGGAGCCTAAGCGATATGTTTCTCACGCGACAGTATTCTTACAATATGTTCGCTTCCAGTTCTCATTCAAAAATTCTAATATATATCACGCGTGCGAAGAACTGGCAATGAAATTTGCATACATCCGTTGGATTTCGCTCTGTTCGCGCGATACCTGGATAATTGTTTCATTTATCTTAATTTATGTGCATTTACATAAATTAAACGTGCGACCATTGATGAATCATATTCATGAATTATTGAATATTGGGATACATAATGTCTGTAACATATAATAAATCATAACAAAAATCGCGTTAAGAAAAATGTGCGTTAAGAATGTACACTCAATGGTGGTCAGAGTCTAACGTAACGGTTGCATGCAAAACTGCCGCTTACTATTTGTTTATTTTTTTAATTATTTAATATCTTTGTTTTTTAATTTTTACGTTCGCATAGCTCTAGTTCGCTTTTTCACATTTTATGCATTCGGGAAAATCCCATTGCTGTTCTTGTTACTATCGTGATTGATTTACTGTAGCTCACATTTGTATTATTGCACGAATTTTAGATATATTTATTTATAATTTGAATGCATAAAGCAAAGTATACCTTAGTCTGTAGTATTTGAGAAACAAAAATTTATTCCTGTAACTTATTATTTTGTGAATATTTATTTGCTATACTAAATTATTTTGAATTCATTTATTATACATACATCTTATTTAACTTAGTGTGTAATTTTTTATCGTGTTTTTGCGCTTTATTAATTGGATACACACGAATTGTCTACATAGAGCTTTGTTGTTGCTTTTAAAAGTTTTAAAAAATGCTCGACTAACAAACAGTGCTACAATCTTCATGCTATTTTAGCCACATGAAAGATTAATTCTTCCATTCTCTCTTAAATGAGAAATTCATTCGTTTTGGTTTCAGAATTGCCAGTTTTGTCACAGTGGAGACAACGAAGATAAGCTGCTGCTCTGTGATGGCTGTGACCGTGGCTACCATACTTACTGTTTCCGTCCAAAAATGGAAAACATTCCTGATGGTGACTGGTGAGTAACGCTCTTGTGTATCGCATTCTTGTCTAATTTTATTTTAAGTTTTTCAAAGAGTTTCAAACTTTCCCTATTACTTTCAGGTATTGTCACGAATGTATGAACAAAGCAACAGGTGAACGCAATTGTTTAGTGTGTGGAAAGAGAGCGGGTAAAAACCTGGTCCTATGCGAACTCTGTCCTAGGGCTTATCACACTGACTGCCATAATCCTGTCATGCCAAAAGTAAGTAATTGCCGAAATGTATCTCTGTTGAAGATATTATTTTTTAACAAAGTCAAGTGTGTTGTTTCGAAGCCTAGATTTTATTGTATGCAATACGCTCTGCTTACAGATGCCACGAGGAAAATGGTATTGCTCTAATTGCCACAGTAAACAACCAAAGAAGAGAAATAGTAGTCGAAGGAGTCATACCAAAGGGGGAGGCACCAGAGAAAGTGAAAGTTCTGATCATCCACCAGCTAGGTGATTACGTTAAAAACAAACAAACATTGTCAAGTTGCTGGCTTAATGACGTTTCATGCGAAGTATATTAGAAAACAGCTATAATGAATGATTTGATAATATTCATCGCAGCCGCAAATGGCGGACAAGTATTATTCCCGATTGAATAAAGTAATCTCAAAACGAATCTAACTGTATACGAAAACTATCTGTATACACTGTACTCACATGCGATTACCTACTTGATCCTCGGCCCGTGTCGCAATACCGCCGAGAATTTTTGTCGTCTCGAGGAACTTTTCCTTTTATGCAGGGTGTTCTAATGAGAGGCTAGAGATCCCATTTTTCATTCTTTGAAGGCGGTTGTCACTGATAGATTTTTCCGAGTGGTTTCCGTTCCTTCGGTGTCTCGTCTCAAGTTTCTCCGCCGGGACACCCTGTACATTCATGATACATCGTTGTTTGCCTAGTGTACTTGCGATCGCCGACTGTGGGATAGGTATTTTCTCAGAAATATTCATCGTAACAGTAGATCCGCCTTCAGATCGTATATGACGAGTCAGAAAAATATAAACGAGAGAGCGCAAGAGGGCGAAAAATAGAACGGAAAAAGTAATAAAGAGCGAACGAGAGACAGAGAGTCAGAGAGAACGCAAATAATTCATCGGGAGCAGCGTACCCGTCTCAGCCGGACACACGATCGAATCTTATGCAATTCGTCCTTGCGCATTCGTCCAGAGGCTTTTATGACGGGAAACCTCCTGCAGAACGGAAGCTAATCGTGCAAATAATTTCTCTGTTGTTTTGCGCCGCAGTCCAACGCCATCAACGGCATCGAACACGCACGTAGAGGATGTCAGTTCGTCGGAACCGCCGACTCCTACCGCCTCACCACGGAAGGAGGGTAACAATCGGACGCTCACGAAGAAGCAACAACGAGAGCTGGCGCCTTGTAAGATACTCCTCGAACAGTTGGAGCAGCAGGACGAGGCCTGGCCGTTCCTCCTGCCGGTGAACACCAAACAGTTCCCGACCTACAAGAAAATCATAAAAACCCCCATGGATCTCAGTACGATTAAGAAGAAATTGCAGGACTCCGCGTAAGTTGTCCAATACGCGCCAGCGATTAGTTAAGTGAACGTACTATCTTTAGCTGCCTTTCCTCTCAAAATCTCTTGGTCTTTAAGACAGGCCTAATAGATCTAATATATATACACACACACAGACTGATCGCAAAAATAAAATAAAAATATATAAAACAATCTGTTGACCGGTCGTCAACCTTGGTCGGCATTGGAAGGCTGAAGTTTTTCACAACGAGTGCTTCTCGATGCAGGTACAAGTCTCGCGATGAGTTTTGCGCCGATGTCAGGCAGATGTTCATCAACTGCGAGGTATTCAACGAGGACGACAGTCCTGTGGGCAAGGCCGGCCACGGGATGCGCAGTTTCTTCGAAATGCGCTGGACCGAGATCACCGGCGCGCCACCTCCGCATCCGCAAACGCATAGCTGAGGCTCGGTACGTTCGCGCAACACCTGCAACAGCTTCGCTCACTTCTACTATTAGGATACGCGCCGCGTCACTGACCGCGACTAGACCGACAGTCGTCGAAAGGGACTCTGATCCATCCCTCTACCACTTCACTTCCGAGCATTAGTCGGCCTCGTTCTAGCGGCCGATCGAATTTTCCATTGTAATAGTAATCGTTGCGAACGCGGGCACGCTCTCGCCTATCTCGCGTATCATCCATTCTCGCTGTTCATCACGTACGCGAGTGCGTTTTTTCTCGCGTTTCATAAGACGCTCTAGTACTCGGGTATATACTGTGACACGAATGTCTCGTACTTTATTTCCTTGTTAGCACTTATGACGCGGTTTTCGTCAAACCTACTCATTGTAAAGTATTATAGCGAGACGTTCTCAGCCGATCGGACACTCGGCTTCGGTTTAACGAATATTGATAAATGTGCGAGAAGCTTCGCACTTAGGTCGAGATCTTGGTCTGCGGTAACAAGCACCTCCTCGACGTGATTAATCAGATACGAGTACGCGCGCATTATTTCGATCCCCGATCGATCGGGACGGAGCAATGCGAATGGTCATTGTACTTACCGATAAACAAGTGAACGTTTGCCTAAGCAACAAAAAAAAAGTGTAATTTGCGATTGTATTATACGGGCTTGATGCCGACGCATCGTCGGCGAAAGAAATATTTTGCAAAGTAATAAATGTGAAAAAAAGAGAGAAGTTATATATGTATATATATATAATTATGAATATGAATATAGTGTATATGTATACAGAATCTATATACACACATATATTGTACACATGTCACAACATGCATACATTCAAACGTACATTTGCCCACGGATGAGCACGATAAGGGTATTATTCGCCGTAGAAGTAGAATAGACAAAATGATGAGCGAAGTTAATGTTTGAATTTGTAGTATAATAGTCTGGCTAATCAGAATAACTTTTGTTCGCAAATTACAAAAAGAAACTTGATTCGTTCTCAGCACAAGCGAAGAGATCAGGCAACTTGCGTCCGACGAGAAAGAATATAAAGTTTTTTTTAATAATTTGAGAGTAAGATTTATTCCGGCCATGTGCGCGGACCGTCGTATTACAAATTGAAGAAAAGATCTTAACACCGTTTCGCAGAACCATTTTGGTTTCTTTTGTTTTTTGCATTTAATTTTGGATTTCGTTAACTTGTGAGTTGTATGACGCATGATGTACGCAGAACGTATATATATTATTCGTGACATGACGAAGAGATAGAAAATATTCGTATTTTCACACATCAGTATTCCGAGACGAGACTATACGTCTTTACTGTGACTGTTGTATTGATTCGCGGATATTTAAAATCTGGCAAATTAATAAGTGTAGGATAACTCTATCATAACTTCAATTACTTTTTTAAAAGCGAAGAAATTTAGACGGTTATTATAACTTAGTCAATTTCCCATTAATTAATTAACCATGTGTCGGGTCTTGCGTACCCTATGTATGAACGATACTTTGAGAACTCTGCTCGTAAAAAAAAAAATGTCAAGTCTTTCTAGAATACTCCGTCTGCTTGATTTTATGCAACACAACGTCGTTTCGACTTAGTATACGTTGCGATTGTGCAAATCTAAACTCTTCCACTGCCGTTAGAGAGATTCGCATTGCGTTAAGCTCATCAGTCCAAAATATTTATTATTTAGATATTATTAACTGATTGTGCGCGCGGAAATGTTCATTATCCGCGTCCATTTAGCTTCCTATCTTTCGTTCATCGATTCATAAAAGTTCCGAATCAACGCAACATATACACGACAAAATTATTCAGGGACGACATCACCATTCTCTGTCAGGCTGATCCCAAAATGCGATCAGCGTGAAGATTATTCGAATGCAGTAAGAAGAATGCATTGCACTGCGAGCGCCTTTGAGAGGACGAATTCTTTTCCGGGAGTAACGAATACGATTACGTTTTTATTGTCATTGAAAAGCTAGGTTTTCGTAATTACACCGTGCGTAGTATTATTATTATAATATAAGAATTATATCGCAATTCTGCCCGCGTCCGTCGAGCTCGACGACGCGGAGACTCGCGTCGGTTCTCTGCCATCAGCGCGGAGTTTCCCCAAGGACGACAATCGACGCTCGGTCGATCGTCGAAAGATCTTTTCGAACCAAGTGTCGTCGTCGCAGCATCGCCGTTAGAATAAACGCGAAGGAAATAGCACATCGCGCTGCGCACGATAGATTGTCAGACGGCGACGAGAATTTATCCGATTAATAATAAACGTGATACCTTTGTGAGTGCGATCATCTTACGCGAGACGGTGTCGACAATGTGACGAGAGCACATTAACACTTGTATCTTGTTTTGTATGTAATTGATGTACATTATTGCTCGTAATAGCGAAATAGTTGGTAAATAGCGAGAGGAACCCGAGGAAAAGGGGAGTTCAGCCGTAGTGTGACGTGCTAAATGATTACGGTTTAAAGAAAAAGGAAAAAAAAACATTCGTAGCGTGTAAAAGTATTAGCTAGAGTATAAATGCCCGCGGAGGGGCGACGACGAAGTAAAAAATAAATAATATCGTTCGGGGTGCGAAATTGAAACGGGAGCGTCGTAATTTAGGAACGAACATCCGGTAAGATCGCTGACGAGATTGCGCGATAATTATAAATTCTGTGGCGTCCCATTGTCTCGAGTGTCGAGAAATAGCTCGCTAGTTTCACCCGTGAAGATTTGCTGATGAGAATAAATAAAAAAGAATCTAACAGATCTTATATGATTTTAAGAACCTACGAATTTAATTATTAATCTGTCTCGACGGTTGAGATACAGCATTCACACTCAGTGTATTAATTTGTGAAAGTCGTAAGAAATTTTATTGTTTCTTTTTTTTCCCGTTTGCCTCCGTTTCTCGACACCATGTCTAATTTTAGTATATGTATGTAAAAAAGAAAAAAAAAGAGAACCGCTAGCTCTCGCAATATACGACGGCACGAGACTGCAATTAGTTCATATGTATAAGTTTATTGTAAAGCGCAGATTTGTGGGGCATTTTGTCGATCTTACCGATTGTTCTTCGGGAGGCACCGGCCGTGCCGTTTGGAGCACCGCGCCTCGCACCGTCATACAGTAGCCGATACGTTTAGACATCTCATACATTCAGACGACAAAACCGACACAACAGAAACAAATAATTTTTTAAAATTTAATTATTATTTAAATAGTACAGTTACATTGTTAGTACGAATAACGACGCTTTTTATACGAATTTTAGTTTTTAAACGTCGATCTTACGATATATATATATATATATAGTATAAATAAATGAATAAATATATATATATATATAGTATATAAAAATGAGAGACAATGGTAATAGTAATAATAATTGATATCGATTAACTAAGGAGCGGAAGATAAAGAGAAACGAAGGCAGTGTTTGGGAGAAGAGCAAGTGAACGAGCACGAGAATGAAAGAAAAAGAGAGAAAGATAAATGAGAGTGCATGTGTGTGCGAATGAAAATGAAAGAGAGAGAGAGATTAAGTTAGGTGATTGTTTGTCTATCGTATACACGAAGGCATACGTTAGGTAGCCTCGATGCTATTTAAACAGACTTAATTAATGTATTGCAAATGAATTAATAAAGTGTAAGCGAAGCGTGTATCTATATAGTGCGACTTTTTTCTTTTGGCAACTACAATAAAATTCTCGATGAGCAGTTAAGACCTCCTGGCATCTGGAAATCAAGGTATACAAGGTATATACAACAGACTGAGACACCTTTTCCCACAAAAAAATAACTTTACCGGAATATATGTCTGTATCGATTTTACCTTGATGCTAGTGAAAATCTTATTAAACATCCTTAATTCATATTTTATTAAAATCATGTTGAGGAGAGAGATTGACGTTTTTCAAGAATAATACTAAACTTCTTCCGTCTTGATATTTATTTCGTTCTTATAGATTTACTTGATTGTTAACGATCGAATTAAGCAATACGCAAAGACGTGTAGAAGGCATTGATATTATTAACAATTAATATTACATGTGTAACAGTACAATATATGTATATTAATTAGCAATTGATATTACATCATATAACAGTAATAATATATTATTTAATTATCAGTGCTTGCTATTTCTCTCGTTGATCTTCGAGACACGTGCGAGATTCGAATTCGCCGCCGTGGCGCATGCGCGATGCCGGTCGTTGCAACAAAACTGACTTCAGAGCTTCAGAGTGGATCGTGTCAATCGTGTGGTGTGGATCAATGAGGACTTGAGGGCTTTGAAGTTTGAGGGATAAAATCACAAATGCTCAGCTCTGTTCGCGGCGGTGAGTCACGCGTGTACGGGTACAGGTGCACGCAAGTAACGAGGCACGGTACTCGATCGCCGCATGGCTCGTGCCGGCGAGAGGGGATCGGTTACGCGGCGCCCGTCGATCAATCGTCCCGCGGAGCGGCTCGTCCCGCACGTCGCTCGCGACAGTTCGGTATTGCCCACGTGAACGTCCCGATCATCATGCGATGACGGTTTTCAACTACCTTTGTAGGACTGCCAGTGAGTATAACGATTCGGTGGCCGAGCGTGTTCACCCGGAGCGGCTCCTCTCACCGTCCCCGTCCGCTCCGCAATTTCATTTTATCGTATTCCGCATTGTTCGCCGCGATCACATGTATGTGTACCTATGTTGAGAGAACCGATAAGAATTAATCAGTGTCACGCTTACTAAAGGAGGAATCGAGAATTGTCTCGAATACGGATCTTGATACCATCTCGAAACGGAATTTTCCTACCGAACCCCAATGCGCTTCTTACTGTCTTGTTTTTTTTCCTTCTTTTTACTACTGGCAGCAAAATATATTATACGGCCCATCCCGTTTTGAACGCGGAAAGTGTGAGAAAGTGGCGGCCTAATGTCATCGTTTTCATTTCACGCAACACGATGATTTATTGCATACTCACGATATAGTCATGATGGGTATACCGCGCGATAACATTGACGTGTATAACCTTTCCGAAGAGGAACAATTGTTTATAAGGGAAAATCACCTTGGTACTTTAGTGTCATTTTTTATGGCACGAGGGGAAGGAGAACAATTCTTATGACGTTTTAATGACAGCTCATAATTGCTTTTTATCGTGCGATGCGATTAGGTAACTATCTCATATCTGTGAACGATAGGATCAGGTCAAAGGCAATTGAGGAAACATTTTATCATGTCGTATTTTATCAGGGAATATTTCTCTCACATATGTATTTAATGTATGCTGAAGACAAATTGAAGCTCTATCTTGAAAAAAATGCGTTTTTTAATGTATGAATAATAATTATTATTATTATATATTTGAAAAATAAGACAGGAACGGCGAATTTTATTAAATTAATTTAATTTAATTATTGTAAGTTAAACGATACATGTAATGTTTTTATTAAATGTTTAACTCCACTTTATTTACAGCATATTAATGATTTCAAAGAAAAACTATGAGTATGAGCTCCATAAATATTTATTTCAAGTTTCAAACTTTTAAAGTTTTATTAATTAATATAGTTAATTAAATTGTAATTGATTAAAATTGATAAAAATACATTTTAAGAACAGCCTCTCTATCTGTTAAATTGTATACATCAGATTGATAATTGATGTCTGATTATCTCACGCATTCAAAGGCAAGTTAATTACAGAAGCTAATATTTATGATTTGTTTTTTTAGGAACGCTGCAGCTTTTACAGTCTCCTTCTACCAATGTACACAGAAGTCTGCGCTTTTTCATTCGAAATGAATCCAGTTTTGTGCCTAAGAAGGTACTTATCGTGGCAAAATTGTCCCGGTATCATTTCGAAAGGTTACGGGAACCCGGGCTCAACGAGACCCAGCTGAAGATGAAACTAATCGAAAGAGGTTCGGATTATGATACCATGCTCGCCAGCCACTTGGCCACCAAGGCTGTGGAAGATCAAATCATCCAAATCTTGCGAAAGATGAACGTGGAGTATAGGATAATAGATAGGTAAGCTCAAATCTTTTTAATAAAAAAAATATATATATATATATAAAATCAGAAAAAATTGGCAAAAACTCTCATTTACTTTCTTAAATTCGTGATAATATTGAAAAAAATTCATATTTGTGTGAATTTGAAAAACTACTCCGATCTGTTTATTTCAAAATTGAAATATTAGTTGTTAAATATTTATCGCAAAGTAAAAATATATCGTATTTTTTAGGACAAGTTTAGACCAGTCGCTTTTTACATGGGCGGATTTAGTACTGCCGATTGGCGGTGATGGAACGTTTCTCTTAGCCTCGAATTTAATATTCGATAATAAAAAACCGATAATGGGCATTAATTCGTATCCTGAGAAGTCGGAAGGCTACCTCCTGTTGTCGGCGAAGTACACGAATGCCATACCAGAGATTTTCGAAATGCTAAGAGCAGGCCACTACAATACACTCATGCGAAGACGAATACGGATCACTTTAAAGGGAGAAGAAATATGGCAGCCTCCCTTTCACATGCATGAGAAAGGACGCATCGTTGGCAGTGACAGGCACGTTATATTAATGTTATAATTAAATTATCAAGGATTTATATTTATTAGATTGCAGACTTTCTCAGCGACGGTTTATCTTTGGAATTTACATCTATCGTTTCTGCACTCTTTACTGCAATACAAGCTTTAATTATCACGTATTTATTACTTGTAGGTTTTATACAAACGAGAAGTTCGAAAGCAAGTATAGCATTACCAACATAGAGTTACCAAAAGAAAGGCGTCTACCTTGGTTGGCGCTTAATGAAGTGAGTTTATTCATGTTCCTCGATGCACACGCATGTATTAGAAAGTCGAGTGATCCGACTTACTCTTTTACGCATATCTCAGGCCTGGTATTTGTCGCTAGGTTTTCATGGGCGAAACGTTATCGGCACGGACGAGTTCCTTACTTATAAAGTTCGATGAGGACCAAGAGTATCACAAAGTAAAGGGTTCCGGTTTGTGCGTGAGCACCGGGACAGGGTCAACGTCTTGGTATAAATCTATACACAGTCTAAATCATCAAACCGTGCGGGAAATATTGAGCCTCGTGGATACCAAACGGCAGTTTACCAATGACAAAATTGATGTGATCTGTTCGGCGTTCAATAGCAGCTTACGATTTGACGCAGGTCAGTAAGTGTGTTATCTGAATAACAAGAGAAGAGATATGGCGTTATATTTAAAGAGTATACATTTCTTTACAGAGGATTGCAAACTGTGTTATTCCATAAGAGATATGATAGTTACCAATGCAATACCCGTTCCGAAAGACGTGCACACTCGTGGTTTCTGTAGGAAGGCCACTGTGCAATCGCAATGCTTCGATGCAGGTTTAGTTCTCGACGGTGGAATAGCGGTCCCCTTCAACTTCGGCACCGTCGCGGAAATAGAGACTTTTCCCGAAGACTCATTACGTACTATTACACTTCTTGATTGAATTGAACGCTTTCCAACGAATCAGGACATTCAAGTAGTATTTTTGTGATAAATATGAAACTTAATAAACGTGTAAAATCAATCTCACATTAATAATTTCTAATGGACAAACGTTTGTAGACGTCTGTAATATAAAAATTTACATTAAACATTATATGTATAATACTTAACGGGAATAGACGCGTATAGACGCGCGATTGAAGTGCCGTTATCCAATAATTGTTTCTGTTTGGGTATTAACGAAACTTTGGAATGGAAAGAACACTATTCGCTGTGTGCGCTGGTATACTATAGCGGAAAAGTAGGACTTAGAGCGCCCATGGTGGCCGGAATTTGCATTATTTGCTGGAGTTTTCTAATACATCGTAATGGAAAAATTACGGAAAGGAAATTTAAATTGTTGCGTGAACACGTGTAAGAATGTATTTCACAATACAAGTTCAGAAATAAAATTTTATTCCTTTCCAAAAGCGATTTATAAAATTGAGCAGCGAAAAATGTGGATACGTTGGGTACAAAAAATAAAGTAAGTATATTCTTTGAGATTATATGATCATATTTTACCTCGTTTAAAATAATGGTATTTATTTAGAATACGGGCCTCACCTCCAATATCAATAAAATTATGCTTAATCGACATGTGACTACGGGGCATGTACATGTCGCTACATTTCATCGATATGACAGGTTTTCTAACTTAAATAGTTGTCAACTTTAACGATTAATATCTCGCTTCGCGAGGCAGACTGCCGCGTTTTTCTTCCAGATTCTTTCGTTTCGTGTAAAAACGCGTCAATAATGTATTTTGAATAAATAATCAAAACAATAATTTTTTGTTCTTGTTTAAACGTTTTTTTATTTATTTACGATTGACTTGAATTTCATTAATATTGATACACTTACATGTAATTGTACCTTGTACGGAATAGCATTGACAGATGTTTGCGGTATTACACTGCACCTTATTAAATGGCTTATATTTTCATTACGCAATTCTTCAACGCGAACCACATGCGATATTGCTAAGGCTTTTCCTTTTGGTATTGAACTTGGATTAAATTTAATGTCATGAGTGACAGGTCCAAATCCCGTTCGTATAATAAGATTCATTGCAAAAAGTCAGAAAGAGGTTAACCTTTAAAACAAATGTAGGTTAATTTCTCTCGAAAAATCTTTTCAACTATAATTTTTGTAATATCATCATTGAAATTAAGATTTAAATTACCTAACGACAGTTTACACGTAGCTCGAATATTCACAATCGTTGACAGCTATTCCATACAGCTATTCCATCAAAAAGTGCGATATTTCACTAACCGTGGCAGCACTAGTCTCTGCGCACACAGCGAATAAGCAAGCTATTTAATTTGAAAAAAGAATTTTGTTAAAGTATCATAATTCCATGTCTTTCCAGACTAAATCTGTCAATATATAATTTTATATATACATGTAACATGTATTTAAGATTTAGTGTATTACATATTATTATTACTATAAGTTGGTGTACTAAACTAAGACTAAAAATTCCAAATATCGACACTTGTGAGCTAGTCTGAAAAAAATTAACTAGATTGTTAGTTCTTTATGTACATTTAGAATATTTTAGCTCATAAATATAAGCCAGGAAACTTTTTATATACGTCAATGTATTTGTTTACTGAATTGAATAAACTTAGAATGTATTTTATGATAAAAGTCTTCACATATTATTTTTATGATATATGTATTATATAACTTTAATAATTTTTCAAGAATTTTAAAAGAAATGTACTCCAACTTTAGCTACTTTTTATCCGAGTATATTCTCCGACGGTGATAACGGCGATAACTTTGACGATTTTTCAGAGATTTCGAAAGAAATCTACTCCAACTTTAGCTACCTCTTATTGGAATATGCTCTTCTGATAACTTCGATAATCTTTCAAAGATCTCGAAAGATGCATGTGCCAAATCTACTTCTTCGTAAAATATAGTCTCCTAATAACTTTTACAATAATATTTATTATATATCTTTTTATAACAAAATACTTTTTAATATTCCAACATTTGTATTGAAAATCCTGTACACACACAGATTACACTTCTAGTTATTTTTCATTCATGACCCAGGTCTGCTCTTCGCGGATGCACCGTTTTGTACTTTCTGCACCTGAAACGAACGAGACGGTGCGCGATCAGACGGTGGAGAGAAAAAGAAGAAAGATGAAAAGAGTGCAACGAGGGCAACAAGTTCAGCCACGAGGAGCAAACGCACAAGTGTATACGGCATACGCGCGTGTCGCGTGAAGGTGGACACGTTTGACAGCACGGCGACTCCGGAATGCCCAACTTCAGGCGTGACTGAAAACGTCATTGTGCTCTCGTGTTTATATTCGGTGATAACGGCGATTCAACACTGGGCGCAACCGAATGGTCTCCTCTTTATCGCGCGGAGGCATGCGACGCGATGCACGTGTGTGACATCGTTTTGTCGACACGCAACCCGACTGTCTGGCCGCATCTATGAGATCTCCCGGCCGCGGAACGGTAAGGATGAATGAGAGGAAGAAAAAAATTGCGAGCGGAAACGATCGGAGCACGGCGCGACGGGTGCCTTTGTTCGCGACGCGAACGTCCCTCGGGTGACGGCAAGAACGCGCAAAGTTCGTTTCCGCGACGATTTTTCGAATCGTCCGTCCGCGTCACGGCGACCGAAGTAAACATCCGCTGATTTTGAGGTTAGAACCGCGAATTAACCTCCGTGACCGGAGTCCGCGCCGAATGGAATATTCCTCCTAAATCTCCCCCTCGCAGGATTTCTGTGTCAAAACAAATTCAACAGAGCTATATTTACGCGATTTATTACGATTGTTGTAAGTATAACGGTATTTCCTTTTTTTAGGAAACAATTTCTGCACGAGATTTATGTGGCTTATTCGCCTTTTTATCGTGTAAATAAAAAAAAATCAGATAAGAGGGCGAATTTACCAGATTTTTTTATTCCCTTAAATATTTTTGTCCGTTGATTGAGATGCAGAAAAATGCACGGTGATGGTGAATACTATCGCGACGCAATGAAGATAAACGTTTTCAAAAATAATCTGACGAGATTTAGTCTAAATTAAGATTAATAAATTAATCTTAACGAAGATCTGCAGATCACACTTGAGATAAATCTGCAATTTGTGTCAGATTTCAGGATAGAATTCTATTTATAATTTTATACGTTGTGTATTTTGATGTATGCAATTCAAGATACATTTTATATACTTTTATATTCCTATTCTTCAAATATATCTTTGTTTTACACGACACGTAAGATTATAAATAAAATTGCATTCTAGGTTCTGAATTATAGATCATCCTCGATCTGATTCTTAAGTATTAAAGTTAATGTTCGAGAAGTGGAAATATAAAATTCACAATTAATATTCTTTATTTGTATCCTGCGTTTTAATATTAAGAAAAGAAATGATATGCACTTGATAATGATGTATTCGTTTTAATCTACAGCGATATGGTATCAGATATCTTTAATCTGCAAAATTGTTTATGGAAGCACATCGCATGTGTAACAATATATGTAGATATATTATAAGGCTAAAGATCAGACATCGCATTCCATTGGCTGTCATATCACTCATATCGTTATCATTCAGGCAGTATAATAATTCACTAATTATCTCGTCGTGTACGTAGTTAAACGTTTACAAAACGATTATGTTATTTTAATAAATTGTATCATCTGAAAATCAATCATTGCGATAAGGATTTCATGGTGATATATATATATACGTTAATACAAAGATTTAGAAAAAGTTTATATCTAGACTAAACAATGGAACAATGGATAAATATATCTGCAGGATGCTGGGAGGATTCATTCAACATTCTTTCATGATTGGAATCACAGATTTGCTTAGAAACGAGATAAAATTGGGAAGCCCTTACAAAAAGAAAGTTCTTTAGACAAAATATTATGTTCAAAGAACAAAATCGTTAATTGCTACATTTATGTTATTTCCGCACGTGTGTGGAAATTGCAATAAAACTTATAGTTTTGTAACTACGTAAGTTCTTATCATATTTTCACAGATATTCTTATGCAAGTTGTTGATTTAGAAATTGCATTGATTAATAGTTGCAATGACAACAAGAAACACTTTTGTTTTCGTTTCCTAAGAATATTATCGCAATGATCTCTGATATATTTGTCATAAGAAAAGCTATTGCTTTTAATATTAATATAACTGATTTGGCAATATTATTTTAGATATTATATAATTGTATAGTAATATTTTCTACAAGAAAATATTTTCCCAGACAGCACGCACGTATAAAAAGACGCCATAAAGATATCTTTAAGACGTATGTCTAAAGGATGTCTTAAAAATGTCTTCACGATCTATTTAGTATTTATATATATGTGTAATAATGCGTTTATATGTGTATTTCACGCTAGATTGATACACATATGTTATTTCATTATTTGATAATCTATTCTTAGCATCAGTCTTCCAATATTTATTTTAGAAACATAAATAATTATATTAGATATATTCATCTTAACTACATCTCTACTGCACTTTCTGCGTTTGAAATGAAATAGATTTTGAAAAAAGAAACAGAAAAGATATAAAACATAGAGTTTGTATAAAACTGAAGCAAATAGTGCTATTATTGCTACTGTTTCTACTAGATTAATTTGCATATTTGCTATATATGTCATTTTCTTGCAGGTCGACGTTACGACGACGACATCAAAAGTGTATCGGAAGGATGGCAGAAGATGAGAGACAAATTAGAATGGCCGCTGAAGCTATACTAAGTGGCTCGATCAACTCTCAAAGAAGTTCGGTTACACAGCATAGTATGACGCGAACGCCGGATATCGTTCTCACCGAGGATCTGATCTTAGGAGCGAGACACAACGGCAGAATGTCGAGCGTTAGACGTTTCTACTGCCTTTTCGTCACCTTCGATCTTCTTCTTACATTCCTCATGTGGCTCATTTGTACAATGGTATGCTAGAACCCGAGACATTATCTAAATGTTAAATCAATGTAGATCGAAAACTTGTCGAAAATATGATTTTTTATTTTGGTAATGGCTCGCTTGGTTTTATTCATTGACCGTAATGGCGCGTGTATTTATGAGCAAAGCATTATCTTTTGCTGTATATTTTCATTTTTTATTTATTATGTATTATTTATTGATGATAAAAATACACTACATTTATAATGTATCTTTATAAAAAATCTAAAGAAATTAAATTGCTAATTGTAAGATGGACAGTTGATCCATCTTATATATATGTTATGGTCAAACCCCCAAACGCGGACATTTCTAGCATTGACTAGTCAATTCTGCGGAATGACTGGTCAATCCTGAGGAATAACCAAGCGGCTTGGAGTTTGATTAGTTTTATTATGCGGGGGAAGGGGCTCCGCCTGCGGGATAAGTAATTTGAGTAATTTGTTGATATGTGTGTACTGTTTATACACACATTACAACAAATTACTACAAAACTTTGACCAAGACGCTTGGCCGTTCGGCAGAATTGGTTAGTCAATCCTAGGATTGACCGTGTTTTGGGCTTTAACCATAACATATATATATTTTTATAATTAAAATTTATGGTTACTTTGTTATATTTACAGATTGCAGGCGAAAGTTTACATACAGCTTTCATAGATCAGGTGATACACTATCATATAAAGACGTCTTTGTTTGATATTGTGGTAAGTATATTCTGTCGTTCCTTATTAATGAGTTTAATGACAGAATGACGACAGTGACATTCAGTTCGTCATAATTTTTCATTATTCATTGGGAGCAGAGATTTTACGGATTTCATCTTCTCAGATGGCAGCGATTTGCAGGTTCACGGTCTTGTTGCTCTTTTATGCGCTGCTGTATCTCAATCACTGGATTATTGTAGCTGTAAGTATATTTGTCCATTGAAGCTTTTCGTGAAAAAGGAAATTTACTTATAACGAATGTATAAACAATAAAACAAATAACAGAGTAAAATATTTTTTTAATTACATAAATATATATATATATGTAATTTTAAAAATGATTTTAAATTAATGTATTTTACAGATATCAACTGCCACAACATGTGCCTTTTTAATTGCCAAAGTTTTTCTTTTTGATGTAAGTGTTTTTGAAATACTTATGTACTATCTTTATTATTAATTTTTTTTTATTTAGCTTATTTAATGTATTGTATTTTTAGTGGACATCAGCTAACCAACCAGTATTCCAAGTTCTGCTAATCTTGACATCTTTTGTATTATCATGGGCAGAGGCTTGGTTCTTTGATTTTCGCGTGATACCTCAGGAAACTCAAGCAAGAAATTGGATTCGAAGTAAGTGGTCTCTCTCTCAACAGTCTAATTTTTTCTTATTTTTAAACTATTAGTCAATAAATGATACGGTAAAAAAACTAACAATGTAGACCTGAACATTTAAGTACGAGCTAATATTTCACAAGAACATTAATAGTATGCACTGGCATACAAAATGGAGAGTAAATTTGATATTTAATCTCAATATCTTTGCATATTAATTTAAAAATTGTAAAGAAATATCGACGAATTTACGAAATTTACAGGTTTTCCAGATACAGAAAGAGCTCCGTTATTACGAAGCATTGTTACTGAATCACGGCAGCATATGGCAAATATCGATCACATGAATACATTTTTCACACCTGTAGAGTCTCCGAATCATTCTGATGATGAGGACATCCCCAGGAAGCAAGGAGATTCGAGGAAGCTCTCAAGATCCAGCGATTTATTTAGGTTCCTAGCAATACTTACACCCGAGAAGGTTAGTAAAATTGTTTTTTTTTTCTTGTTTTAATCGATCATTAATTCGTAAGAAACATTAAAGGAAAAAAAGAATATGTGTCTCTTTCTACTTTAGTTATGGTTTAACATTTATTGTAATTAAACGCGATATTTATCAGCAAGTATTTTAATAATTCAATGATTCAATGATTCAATGATTCAATTTTATATTATCAGCAAGTATTTAATAATTCAATGATTCTTAGAAATTTTAATATATATATACATATAAAAAGTCATATATACACATATATGGTAGATGATGTAGTCAATGTCGAGTTCTCTATGTCTACGACAGTAATCCTTGAAGAGTATCTTTTTAAGCAGTAAGCGATAACTGAAATTGGTGGGGGACATAAGTGGCAGGGAGTACTATGGGAGTACTAAAGTGCAAAGACATGTTCAAGAAACATGCTATCTTTAGTTGGTTACAAAACTTATTCGCGTAAAGCTACATATGCGGCTTGTGTTTAACCATTTTTTTGTGTGCTGTGTGTCACATTAAGTTTTAATTTATAAATATATTTTATTTGATTAATTGTGGTTTACATTATGTTTCTAATTGTTAATTTTATTCGTATAATTATACGTCCCTTTTTTTTGGGTGATGCCTTGAAATATTTACCTAAGCCTGTAGAGACCAATTGGGGCTTAAAAGAAAAATTGATAGAATTTTTAGCAAACAATAAAATACTTTTAGTAAGTTATTTCATCTATTCATTATTATCATTGTAAAATCAGGAGTTGATTTATCTTCTGCGTAAATTTGAGAGTAACAATTGTAAAGCATAATTATAAAGAAAAATTTATTTAAGCATAGAGTTAACTTATTAAGATATTTATGCGTTATGAACATAAATAAGCTATTCTATTTTAATTATATATGCATTTGTTAAAATATTGAACGTAAAAAAAATTAAATATTGGACGTAAAATTTGCATAAATAATAATAGAACTAAGTAGAGAGATATTAACGATTTACAACGAGAGATTTTACAACTTTACGATTTTATTACACATTATTTTATAACAAATAATGTACATATTATATACAGGGTATAAAATTAAAGGTGTTACAGACTATTATTTCTAAAACTAAAAATATGAAATTTTTGTTTTCTGTCAATAGTTTAGTATCAAAAGTAACATGATATGATGTTTACTTTTTTCTAAGTGCCGTTACGGTCACAAAAATTACATGTTTTGCTTAGTTCTAGAAATAATAGTCTGTAACATCTTTAGTTTTACAGAATGTATATAGAATGTATATATTGTTTATTAACTTTATAGATTTAGATAAGTGTTAAATGCAATTTATAACTTATCTGCATACTATGATCAAATTGTAAGTCGTGAGTAGAGTTTTTTCTTTTTAATATTTTTAAAAGTAAAAAAGTAAGAAATATAATATCATGTTATCAGTATTCTTTAATAAAATGTTATAAAGTAGAAAAGCATTATATAATTCTATAAGATCACAATAATGAATTGAAAGAAAGAAAAAAAGAGAAATGATTCAGTGGTGCAAAGGTCGTAGTATTATACTATATTATACGGATACCTGCACTTGCTGGCTTATCCTAGTATATATGTCCTTGTACATATATATTTTTCAAATAACGAATCAATTGTTACTTTATTTTGTAATTAACATATTTAAATATCGATAATATTGTTTATCGGCTGTATTTAGAAAAAAGTGATGTGTGTGTGTTAAGAAGGAAAAAATATTAAAATTAATTAACAAGTTAATGCGTTAACGAATTAAAAAATAATAATTCTTATTTTAATGAAATTAGGTTTTTATCGAGTTTATCACAAACGCGAATTTGAATATTTGGATATTTACTTCAACTAATAAACAATTTTTTATTTGATTGAGGACAGTAAATATTATTTGTGTGTCCCTGAGATGTGTACTCATTATCAACTAGTGTCTCGTACATTCGTACTGCACTCATTTCAAACTATCGAGTGCACGCGCACTATGTTGTAAGCAAATAAATATATTCATCAGTTATATTTTTGCGAATGCAATAAATCAGCCGTATCATTTATCGTTAACGCAATAATAGGTCGGTAGATCAAGTGTTCATTTTTATTCAACATTTATAATTACAATGCTAATGCGTTATTACA